ATACAAATGTTTGTTAGTTTGTGTGTGAAAAATAGTGCAAAAAATTTGTGTGAACATACATAGTGCATCACGATAATATTTTTGTTTATTATTTGCTATATTTTTGACGTAATGTGGCTGTTGTTTTTTTTTCTAAATATTCAAAAGATTTAAAAGCCTACTTGGTAGAAATAATGTTGAAAGCAACATTTATTAAATGTGGAATCAAAGTAATTTATAACACATGTCTTTAGTGTAAATTAAGGTCTATCTATCTTTAAAATGTGTTATTTCCATTTTACTTTCTGATTGCTAAATGAAATATAAATAACTTAAAACTCATACAAACATGTGAATTTTAATATGATCTTCAAATATTAGTTCAATATTTGTTTAATGTTTAAAACTATTATTGGAAGTATTCAAAGTATGTTGAATTATTTTAAATACAGAAGATTTTATAAAAGTTAATATGTGATCTATATGAATACTCTAGATTTAATTTTATAAATACTTTTATTTACTTATACTTGAAGGTTATCTGAAATTCATAATTATAATTATATCTTGATAATTTTTGTATGTAATATAATTTCTCATAAAAGACGTCACTGTAAATTTTATTCATTGAACTGCTATTTCTGAATGACGGATTTATTTCCCAGACGCCCTAATTGCTTGAGTCCATTCAAGTCTAACCTATTTTATCTCGTTATTACTACGAAAAATCAAAAGAATATTTTTCGATTCATTCTGAAAAAAACCTTAAATCAATTCAAATTTTCGCTATTGTTGCAAAATAATGAGATTAAGTTTGCAATCACTTTCATCAATTGAGATTTTCGATCTTAGTTCATCGAGACTTTCTTTCTATAGTAAAAGTCTCATTAAATATCGCTAAGACTCGAATCCAATTGAATCTATTTCTATTTAATTCTTGAAGTTTTAATTTGTGTTTTCTATATTGAATATCTATACCTTATTTTATTTCTTTTTGACATGTTCTTAAAAGCTCTATATTAATGAGTCTTAAAACTTACCTCTTACGAAACTCGAATCATCGATTTCTGAATCGATCGATTATTGTCATTTTAGAGAATATATTTTTTATACATGGACTTGAAGTTACTTTAGCAAATGATTTAAAGAACTTAAATTCTAAAATTTTCCTCTTTTCATCCAAGTCCAATTCCCCGTCAATTGTATATACATATAACGCCAACTACGACATTGACTACAAATTCAAAGTGTCATGTCTCAGGTTTTACAATAAATACAAATTGTTTGCAAGTTTATGCTTTCCAACATAATTTTGGTGAATCAAAACCGTAATTAATAATTCATATATATATTGAGAAGGCAATTTTCTTTCACCTATTCTTTCATCTATCCTTAACCTACTCTCGAGTGAGCTAGATGTCAACTATATATTTAAGATACTAAAAAATCAGTCACAATAACTTCTACGTCAAAAGTTGATCAGGCTGTTTGTTCTGAAATAGTTTTATATTAAGTAACATTATCTGAAATATAGTGAAATTTTTGTGATTAGAAATTGGGTTATAACTAAAGAGAAAGATTTTGATTCTACGGATAACAATTCATATATGTGAAATTGATACTGCAACTATAAAACACAGCTGGGTAGGAAAAATGGTGTAACTCTGTATTAAAATCTTATTATAGTCTGTCTGACTGTCTTTTCTAGAATTTGTTACAATTACCATATAAGAAAAAATCAATGAATGTAAGTCTTACAATGTATTTTAACAATACCGTAAGTAGTTTAAATTGTACGAAATAACATAGTTGAATATAACAACACAGGAATTCGGTTGGCAAAGTTAAAAAGTTGTCTCAAAAATATTAGTGGTTCAAGCATTAAATTCAAATCTAGAACAGTTGTTAAGAAGAAAGTTCGATGAAACTTAGGTATTCAACAAGTTCTTTAGTTAAATACTTGTGAAAAACGAAATGAATCTTTCATTTAAGTTGGATATTTGATGACATTTTTCAAATTTATCACCTTTCTTTGAAAGTATTCTAGTGAAGGTTTTCTTTTAATACAGAATATAAAAACTACATATATTAGTGAGTAGAATTATAATGATAATAACAATTATTTTATAAAGAACGACTATATGTTTTGTCTTTGAACTATTCATAAACTCTGCTCGCATACAACTTTTTTTTATTAATTTGTTATCACATGTTTGTATTTAAAACACGTCTTTTAATAAATGGCATTTTTTACTAAGTTGGGATAAAGCTTTCACATATTATTACGTAAAAACCGTTATCGTTTTGGAGCGTATATTTTTATTTCTACTGTCATTTGTTATGTATTATAACTATACTTTATATTAAAAAAAATCTCATATTTTATAATTGAGTATCATCTAAACACATGAAGTAGCTCTCTTTTCAAAGTATATATTTTTATTTACGCACTCTCTACCCTCTCCAACTTAACTAACTTAGTTTCCAAGTAATCCTCCACATATAACAACAGTAAGACAAGATCAAATGATCTAGGATTGTTAATAAATGTTTTCATCAACTCAATTTCCTATACCTATTATACCTGAACTAAAATATAGAAGTTCTGGAATATACTTTTATACAATAAAATAAAAATGTCTGTGGCATTTTATCAGATGAAATCATTTTAAGTGTCTTGTATGAAAAAAGATTAAAGTAATATTTTATTAAGAAAACGTTGTCAACTTCTGACCGAGGAATTGTCATAAATTTACCCACTGTTAATGATAGCACCAACAATATCTTAAACTAGCTTTTGCCGCGACTCCGTCCGCGTGGAATAGTGACTTCCGGCAGATTTTTGGTTCTTCCCACATAGTTCCCGTTCTTGTGGGGTTTTCGGAATGGTCGAGTTCCCGTAAAATTTTCAGGATAAAACCTATATTTTTTTTTATTCACAATGAAGTACTCTTAACCAACAACATATTTATTTGTTTATTTGAATAAAGATTAATATTATTATGTTGATACAACTTAAACAAATTATTTCGACCAAATTAGGTACCATAAAAACGGTTTTTGTGAGTTAATCTTAAAAGATACACATATATTGTCGCGGACTGTTTTTTAGATCATTAAAAGAGATATTATTCTTTAATACATATTTTTTGTGTATCTTGAACCGTTTTCACGGCGCACGCAACGGAAGGCTTCAAAGATGAAATAATTTCTCCCGTTTTTTACACATTTACCACTATATCTTTGCTCCTATTGGTCGTAGCGGGATGTTATATAGCCTAAAGCCTTCCTCGATAACTGGACTATCTAACACAAAAAGAATTATTCAATTCGAACCAGTAGTTTCGGAGATTAGCGCTTTCAAACAAACAAACAAACTCTTCAGCTTTATAATATTAGTATAGATATGATATGTATGTAGTAGGCTTGATTGTGCTTACATAAATCTTTGCTGCGCCGTCTCTAGTGGTATGCAGTAACAATGACAATATTAACATAGTTTTATATGTTTTTAATTGTTACTAACAAGTATGTGAGTCTACGTTACTTGATTTTCGTTTATAAATAAATAAAATAAAATAATTAAGAGATAACTTTAGTGTTAAACATATAAACATTTCAATTATTTTATAAGAACACACCTAATTAGTTAATCATACATTTTATTAGCGCTTGTTGTTACTTTATTGGTCTCACGAGTTCTGTAATGAAGTGTTTACTTAGAAGTCCGTTTCTTTTATTATTGGAGATTTACCTTTAGGTGGTAGAGCCTAGCTGTGGTAAGTTACTACAGCTCGAACATGGGCTGGCTCAACCGGGGAAGTACCACCCTCTCACAGAAGATCGGCGTGAAGTAGCCTTTAGTGGCTGCGTTTCGTCCGATGAGTGAGAGAGCCGGTTGCCCTTTTCCTATTTCCCACCATTTCCTACCATTTCCTTATTCCCACCCCTTCCTATTCCTAAAAAAACAAGGTTGGCAACGCATCCATAACAAACATGTTGCGGATGTCCGTGGACGACGGTACTACCTTACACCATGTAGGCCGTCCGCTCGTTGGCCACCTTTGCCATAAATACATATATATATATATATGTATATTGGAGAGAAATAGTAAAACGGTTCCTTTACTTTTATTGTAGATACTTTATAATAGCAATTTATATATAAATGTTCTATAAATATCTGTGAAATTAACTTTATTTTAAAAGTTTATGTTTTAATAATTTCACTAAATTTAATAAATATTTGTGAATGATGATTTATATGCGTATATACATTAGGAGTATATCATTACCATAAGAAGTATATAACATTACCAATTTAACATTTATAACAATCATCTGGGAGTTCATAGAATAAATTATATTTCAATTTTAAATATAACAAAACTAATTCTTTACAAAATGAGTAGAAATTGCAGAAGTTTAAGTAATGTCAAATAGAGAGAGATGATTCTGTCATCCTTGTTCTTTAGTTACGTTAAAACATTACTATAAATAATATAATCTTTCCATTAATTCTATGTTAATATAAATTAAATTATTATTATTTAAAATACGAAGGTATTTATATTTTTGCAGGATCCTGAATTATTTAAAAGATTATCTTTTAATAGACAACAAACTTAATAATAAATAAAATTACTGGCCTTTCAATGACCCAGCGATTCTATGTTTATTGGGTAATTTATCAAACAAACCGAAAATCCTGATTTCTGAAATCAATCAGTTTCAACAATAAAGGACTACTATCAACATTGTGATATATATCTATAAGATTCTATGTAAGAAGTGTGGTCACCTTTTGTAGTAATACACCACCCTGATGATATGACGTAAAGTTATAATAAATTCCCTGATGACAAGATATTACGAGACAATTTTTATAAAATCACAAGATGCCCTAAGACCGTAGGAGTCCTGAATTGTAGCTACGTTACTTTAGATTGTTTGTAACAATCATGTTAGATGCTTGGATGTTGTATCAATATGGCCAGAACCTTTTTATAATAACACAAAACTTAATAATAATGTTCTGGAACAGACTTCAAAGTAGAAAATTCGGAGTGTGCTTGCTTTTTAGTCTGGTTGGGTAATATCTTTGATACGTTTTCTGGATACAACATCCCCTACAGTAAATTAATTGTTATATTAATTAGACGCAATATAGACGGTAGACGCAATCAAGAAATACCGATGAAAAGTGTTCCATGTACAAAAATAGATTTTCTGCCCTACAGCAATAGATAACGGAAAAATTAAAATGTGTGCAAAACTTTAATAGTTGCCTGATTTGTGTTACATAGTGAGATCTCTGATTTTCGCGAGTATTTATTTAATTGAAACGAATATTTTTCGGATAATGCCACATCTCGTCTGCCCGTGATCACGGTTACTGTAAAGTAACCGAACCGTCGGGAGTATGTAGTTAAAAAACAAAAATAAAAATCGCATAGTACATCCGAAAAATATAAGTTTAATTTTGTGTTACATAGTATTACATTTGATAGAAATGAAAGAAAATTTTGAGAACAGGTACGACTAACATGCTATACCTCGTAAAAATATGTAAGCATAGATCCCAGATTTACTATACAGACAAGTCTAAGAATATACTTTTGAAACAACTTCATAATAACAGACTATATTTTATTAACGACATTACTCATTTAATATTATTTTTTAATTTTCTTTTGTATTCATATTCCTTCGAGTTGCCTTCTGTTTTCGTTAATTTTGCCTCTTTTTTCTATTATTTCTTCGTAGTCGTTATTTAATTTGCACTTGTTAAAAGCTCAAGTTACTTCATCAAGTGTTTTGTTCTGTAAATTAGTAAAGAAAACAAAAGTATAATAAACATATGTAGAATGAGTGCTCATACTTATATGTAATTAGTTAGAATTTCTTAGTAATTGTAAGATAACTGACCGCAAGTTTCTTCATTAAATAAATAAACATTTAACCCTCCTTCATTTTCTCGAGTTTGTGGTGCACTAAGACTTCGGAGTTGTAATTATTTTTCATAATATCGGTACTTCTTGAAATCATAGTTTTCATTTGTTCTTGTTCAGTATTTAACTTGTGTGCGTGTTCTTACCTTATCTTATCTTGTATTTTCTGACTGTACCTCAAAAAAACCTCTAATAATTGTCGTAAAAACAATCAATTAATGTTTATTAGAGAGTCACTTTTGACGACTAACGTTGACATATTACAGATAAGTTGTCTCTCAAGGCTTTATATTCGCTTGTAGAATTCATAGAAAATACTTGTAAGTTTACTTGCCAATTAACGTTACTTGGGAAGTAACTATTCAAATCTTTAAATGGATATGTTAGACGAGGAGCGATAATAATAAAAGATAAAAACCTGTGATATATTGAGTGTGGTGATTATTATGTAAAACACCATATATCTATATAATTTTAGGACCTATACTGGGGATCTATCGTAGGAATAAGATATCATCATTTAGTTACTGTACTGTCACATCTTTATAAAATATTGGTTTAATAAAATTACAAAAAAGTGAAAATATTCGTACTCCCTCATTACGTCTCCATCGACTTTGACAGTAAAATAGTTTTTTGTTTAGCAATTATTTAAACTTAATATAATAAATTTCATGAAAATTGTAAAATAAATCCGGAATCAAGTTATCTTATTAGAAACGACTTGATGCAAAAAATGTTATAAAAAGTAAATGTATAAATTACGCTTTCCAGTAATTATTTGAGTTATGAATTATTAAATTATTCTGAAGGATCTGAAAGATTGCTGTAATTATATACCTTGTATTCAGTAAATGTATACTTAGGATATATATTATATGTAACGATTTCATTTATTGAATACTATAGTACTCATAATTGTTACACAATAAAATTACGTATTGATAACTAAATGAGGCGTTGCCTAAACTGAAGCAAAAAGTCATTACACAAACATTTTAAATTATCATTGTTATAAAAGTAAAGAGTGATACGTTCAATTGAAATTGTACATGACCTACTTCAACCATTCAACTTCATATTATTGAGGAAAAATCATTTGGTTTCGAAATGATATTCGATAACTTTTCATTTCAATTGAACCTAGTTTCTTATTTACTGAAGTTCTTTAAATATATTTATGAACATGATGAACCACAAGTTCATAACAAATTTTAACCCTCCATCACTCGCGTGGTTTTTTAGCTCGTGAGCACTCGCGGGGTGTTGGGGCCACCCCACATACTCAAAGTACTTTTAAACAAACATAGTAGAAGTTAATGAAATTACACCTGTTTGTTATTATTTTGTGTAGTATAACGTATGTAAATAACGTAACTAAATTTTATAATCAACTTTATTACTGTTCTACAAAACATTATAATAATCAGCCTTTTTAGTCATAATATTGAGATCATTTCTCAAAAAAGAAAGAAAAACAAAAAATTTCTTCGTTTTAACATATTTTTTTTTCATTGAAAAACAAAATATAAGGATGAAAGAACAAAATTAAATAAAAATTTCTTAGTTTTCGCAACAAGAACTGCAAATTAACTTCATGTGTTTTTGACACAAGGTTCTCACAAAAATTGCAGTGTCTCAATGATTTGATGTCCTTAGAACGTGGACAAACTATACAGCGCTGCTTTTTTGTTGGCGACATTCCTTCGGTGCTTGATCCAGGAGCATTCAACATCCTCTTGAGTGCTTTCGGTAACCCTGGTTGTGAAGATCTTCTATCAAGGTGACCTTGAAGCATGCTCAAACCCAATGATTCCAAAAACTCATGCCTTTTCATGTTACATTGTTTATTTTTTTGATGTAAATATTTGTGCAACTAGTTATTTCTGCAATCATGTCGTCAGTAATAAAGAGTTGGAAACATTCAAGTGGAGATTTACAAGTTTTGGCATTACCTTTGGGACCGGGAGCTTCAGTAATTATATTGTGAGCGCGGGTTCTAATTGCAGTACGACCCTTGACTCTGTGCCATTTAGTTACTTTATCTTTTCCAATGTAATATTCTTGTTGTCGATCCTTAGTTTCAGCCTCTTCTACTTCAGACTCGGATAAAATATCCTGTTCTGATAAAGAATCATGATCAGATTCTTGAATAAAATTCTCATCCAAGCTGGCATCACTTTCCACTGCAACATTATCTTCGTTATCCGATATTATTTCTTCCAACAAAGCTGCCAATCTCGCTTGCTCCTGTTCCCAGCTCATCTGAAAAGAAAAATAATTGAAAAAATATTACATACCTACAAACACAGAAAGGTACCTAATTAGAAGTGTGTGAAAACCAAAACCATTACATATATGCTTAGAAATACATAAATATACATTTATAGTAAATAAAAACACAATTCTAAATAATTTATGTTTACAAAACAGTTGAAATCACATACCTTGATGATAAAGTATCCTCCGCAAAAGTATAACACGAGCACTCGCGGGGTGTCGTGACCACCCCACGCAAACTTTGAGACGTCCTCACACTGCGAGAACTCGCGCCACGCTACTCCCCCCGCCCGTTTCGATGCGATTAAAGGTCACTTGAAGGTACTGAGACGAGCCGATACATAACTCAAGAAATTATTATTCTTTTTTACGTTCAAAAATGCGTGGGGTGCCGATAGCACCCCGCGCGAGTGATGGCGGGTTAATTACAGCCAATTATATTCAATCTTGATTGGATCATCGGAACCCTCATTATTCATAAGATTAATTCTTATGATTGCTATTGTTTGACTTGCGTGTTGTTTAACCCTTTTGTATTGAAATTAATAGTTTCTGAACAAACACTCGCTAATATTAATGAAATTTGTACGATTTGGTAATTGAATTTACTTGCGTTAACATAATGGAATTTGAAATTTCAATAAGGTTTGTTCATTGGTAATACAATTACTATTTTTTATATAAAAATGTTGCTTTTTATGCTAAAAGGGACAACGGGCAGACGGCCTACATTTGGAGGTAGTGACCGTCGACTTAGATTTCAGCAACATAGTTTTGCGGGTGAGTTGTCATAATTGATGAGGGAAAAGAGAGATGAAAGGAATTATTTAAGATTTCTTTATTTTAGTTTATATTATAAGATGATGTGGTAATCTACCAGCCGAGCCTTTTTTTTTTTTTTTTTGACGGGTGGGAAATCCTCATGGATACCACACGCCCCGGGGGAGGCGTGTGATTATGCCGGACTCCTACCGGCTAAAACCCACCCGGTTACCCTCAGCCGCTTTAAGGGGGCTACAAGGGGTCGCTTGCGCATTCTACCTCGTAGGCCCGGCGACAGCGACCCACTCCTCAGGCGGGTCTCTCCCTATGTGAGGGCGCTCCGGTAAGCTTGAGCGCCCTCCCTCCAGGAGGCCAGTGACAGCAGGGCGGACGGTCCCCCGACCGGTCCACCCTCTGGCCTCCTAAGTGGGCGGAAGGAGGTGGGCGTACCTCCTCCTTCTCACCCCGAGGCGGCGGCGGCGCATCTGGTCTGAGTTGGCGAATCTACCAGCCGAGCCTAGCTCAATCGATCTTGTCTTACTGTAGCTATAAGTGAAATTAAATCATAAGCCGATAACTCTAAGTGGATAGACAATGCGTTGGTAAAAATAAAAATACTATAAAGAAAATATAAAATACAGAATTTTGATATTTACATTCAATAAACTGAATAAATATATAGACCAGATAAAACAAAACAGTAGGTACTACAAAAAAAAGGACAATGGATATGGAAATATGCGCTTCTAAAACAACAACGACTTTTACATAATATTATAATACATATAACACTTGCATTTCAACTGAATAATAAAAAAAAATAGTAAAATAATATTGTGATTTCAAATGGGTGATAACATAGTTTTCAATTGACAAAACTTTTGAGATGTCTGAGTTTTTTTTTTAATTCCTAGATGTCATATATGAACCAATGTTCTCCAATATACACATACAAACACACACACACACACACACACACCAACATATTAAGTTGAACGAAATTTGTGAATGAATACATCTAGTCTTATTCAGTGTTAACGACTGAAGAGCAAGTAAATAAAGTTTACCGAAGATGAATAAATATTCATATATTCAAATTAAAATTAATAGTTCTGATATCCTTATAAAAGCAAGATTTTTTGAACTTTCAATATAAATGAATGAAAAATGTGTTTATAGAAATAAAACAGGAAGCGATAAATTATATTTAACTCTTACCTACTGTCGATCAATCCTTAACAATATAAGTACATCTCATAATTTAAATATTATGCATAGAGAGTATCGTAAATATGAAAATTAGATTTATACTTTAAATATACTTATATTTTGATTTGAAATTAAGCACTTAATACAATATAGTATTTTATTTACGAAAAATTTATAACTTTCAAAAATGTATATATAATATGGCATCGTATTAAAATAAACATGACTATAATATATGTATGTACTTCGTAATGAAACAGGGATTTGTGGTTAACCAAATTCGTCTGCAAAATTCAAGTTTCATCATATAGTTCAACGTTATTTATAGTTTCTATCTATGACAAATAAAACAGGTTTACAATTTGTTTATTTTCTAAAATATAATAAATGTCTGCTGTGTACACGTTCACTGCAGAGTAATTGAAATGTCGCTCAAAATCAATACTAACATTATAAAGGGGAAATATTTAAATATTTGTGAGTGTATGTTTGTGACGAATAAACCCAAAAACCACTGAACTGATTTCAAAAATTCTTTTATGATAATTGTAAATAAAAAATACTGTGCTATAATGTCATGTCACACTTAAGACTAAATAACTTGAATAGAAAAAACGATGAATAATTTCTCCTTCTAACTATAAATAGACAAAGTGAAAAAAATAAACTAACAAATAATGTAAATAAAAATAAAAACCAGTGTGTTTTAGACCACATGACTAAAGTAAAACTTCTTTCACTCCATCTGTATGTAATATGTATATGAATAATTATGTTTATATATGTATAGTACAGACATGTATATACATAAATATACACATATTGATTTTCTACAATTATTTCCATTCATTATGGGTTACCATTAATAAATTAACAATAGACATATGATATGAGAAATAATATAGATATGTTTTCGAATGAAGATTAGAAAGATATCTAGAGAAAACTAAAAACAAACTACTGACTGATGTATAGTATGTACATATATTTCATGCACTGGCTATGAAAGGAAGCGAGAAAGAAAATATACGAACATACACTATATACATATAGTAACACAAACAGTATAGTATTATACAGTCATATACGGACCGTTACACTCTGTTTATCTTTATACTTACATCATCCTCTCACTTTCGTTCGCCTCGCTGGATCATACTTTTCGTAACGCTTTCGTCACGCATTCACCAGCTTATTCCCAAGTCAAGCGTGCGTAAGGAAGTTCTTATATAATAAAAATATTTAAAAATCCTATGACAAGCCATGACGAGCGGCGTTAATTCCAAAAATCCTATATAATTTTATAATACGAGGGTAATACCGAAACTATCTTGAACTGGACAGTTAGAAACATTTCTAATGAAAACTATTCTTGATTTTAAATTTAAGAACTCTTGGTAATCTAATGTAGCATAGGCGTACCTACCTAAGCGGAATTTATAAGAGAAAACTTAATGAGAAGAAAAGTAGATATGGTTTTAGTTAATGTTATTATTAAGTAAATTCTTTTTTATTTCTGATTTGTTTTAAATAATTAACACTTTAGTGGTAACAATCTTTATATAACATTAAATAAATACAAAAGAATACTCACTGGACGTAATCAACCCAAAATTATATAAATTACATATTACTAAAGAAGTTAATAACAGGAGGTGTGAAATTGGTTAAAAAAATATATAAGTAATAAGTAAAATACGGGAAAATGTTTACCGTTAAAATTGTAATGAAGCCCGTAAAAAGGCATGATTTTGCAATGATATTAAAGAGATGCAATATTTTAATATTTATAAATGAAAGGCACACAAGTGATGCGACGAAAAACTCTTTTAAATAACGGACCGAAATTGTAGTGGTTCTTTAATAACGACATATAACGGCGTGTACTCTGTAAATATACAGAGTTATATTCTTAATTACTGAGTTCATTTAGTTCTTAAATAAAATTTTAATTGTGATTATTTTTACCAAATTATAAAAACCTTTATATTATATTAATTATCATATTTATTATAAGCGAAAAACCGTAGTTCAGTCACACTACATAAGAAGCCGTGACCCTCCGACCTTCAATAAGCAATGTTAACATGTACTATAATTTGTGATGATTATGAATAAAAACTATTAACGCTAGGTATGTATATGTGAGTTTGAGAACTAAGCAATCATATGGAACGTAACTTATACATCCATAAAATAAATATAGCTAAGCATAGAATAATTAAAAACTAATTTAAAACGAAATGAATACCATTTTATAAATTCCCAAAATATGCCTAAGTGACTAAGTATCTTGAGATAACTTATTATTTTGCATAAATATTGGTTATTTAATTGTTGCTCATTTAATTGAGATTACAGAAAAACATGCCATTTCACAAACTGTAGAATCATTTCATTTGTATTATTTAAAAAATAAACTTAAATTTTTAAAAAGTATGAAAGTGTTCTTGAATAAAGAAATCCATTTAAACATCAATTACTGGACTGATCGTAATACGTTGATGAAAAATTCGTATCTCGAAGTCTAAGAGGTTAAAAGTTTCGAAAGCTATAGCCTTGTTAGTTGACTGGAAATAAGAATGTGGTTTCGTGAACGAAGAAAATTTAATGTTGAAGTGAAGTAATGCGCTCATTTGAAATAGGAAATAAAAGTTATAGCAGGATTAAACATTGGATTGGATTGAACATTGGATTTAAAAAATATAAATACGATAATAAACAGTTAAACCGTCTATTTCGTGGCGAATATAGAAATATATTTTGAAAGTCGGTTAAATTCTATTAAGTAACAATAATTTCATAGATGAGGTTTAGGCACACCCTGGCTACACCTGGGAAATTGCCAGGAAGAAGAATTTCATAGATGAAGTTTTTTTAATAATATTTTTATGACGTATGTTATTAATTTTACTTCACTTTAAAAGTGGTATATATTATATAAGTTTTTTACAATATTTTTAGAGATGACATTTTTCATAATACTTATATTTTACAGACAATATAATAACTTA